CCACAAAAAAAATTATCTAAATTGTCATTGCAGAGGCTGAGAAATCCTGCTATATTCACCCCCTACCACTTGCTCAATTTTTTTTGAGGCAAAATATATACACATTGAAATGTATAATTTTTTTTGGGGGGGGGTCATATCAGGGATTGAACTTGGGGCACTTGAACATTAAGCCCCATCCCCAGCCCTATTTTGTATTTTATTTAGAGACAGGGTGTCTCACTGAGTTGCTTTGCACCTTGCTTGTGCTGAGGCTGGCTTTGAATCTGCAATCCTCCTGTTTCAGCCTCTCGAGCCTCTGGGTTCATAGGTGTGTGCCACTGAGCAAGGTGAAATGTGTAATTCTTAACTCTGTAATTCTGACAAATGTCCCATGAAATCTATATATGCACTCCTAAATTTTTATTTATATCCATTATCAGATTCAATAATTTCTCTATGATGTAAAATTGTTATTATTAAACAGATATTAAATTTTATCAATCCACTTTTTTTTTTTTTTGGTTGGGTCTTTTTTGGTACTAGGGATTGAACCCAAGGGTACTTTACCACTGAGGTACATCCCCAGCTTTTTTTGTTTTTTTATTTTGAGACAGGGTCTCACTAAGTTGCTTAAGGCCTTCCTGAGTTGCTAAGGCTGGCCTTGAACTTGCAATTCTCCTGTCTCAGCCTTCCAAGATTCTGGGATTATAGGCATGTGCCATAGTACCCAGCTCCATTTTGTTTTTAAGGATTACTTAAAAACACCCAGCCACCTTTTCGGGATTTACCTAGAAGAAGTGTGCCTGAGAATAACCATCCTACTTTCTCATTTTTCCAACTGCTATGCTAAATATAAATCTGACTTTCTTTTTCCCTCTCTGTGGTGCTTGTACTTTAAAAAAAAATCTTTATATTTGCTTTACACATTTTTTTTTTTTGTTTGGATGGCTTTGAATTAGGTGAGTTTAAAAAGTCAATATGGTCAAAATATGGCATATACATGTAATGAAATATTACTTGGCCTTAAGAAATTTTTGACACATGTAGAAGAACTGGGAAGAAATTAAAACCAGCCAGACAGAAAAAGACAAATACTGTATGATTCCACCTGTATGAAATACTTAAAGTAGTCAATTTATAGAGACAGAAAGTAGGATGTGACTGCCAGGGCTGGGGACAGGAGAGAATGGGGACTAGATAGTGAATGGGTACAGAGATTCAGTTGGGAAAGAGGAAAAAGGTCCAGAGGTGATGGTGGTGATTGATGCACAGCAACGTATATAAACTTCTAGACACTAAGCAGATACTTAAAAATGGTTAACATGAGTTGGGCAGGTGGCACATGACTGTAATCCCAGTGACTCAGGACGCTGAGGCAGGAGGATCAATTTAGAGAGGCCCTAAGCCATTGAATGAGACCCTGTCTTAAAAATAAAAAATAAAAATAAAAAAGGCTGGGGAATAGCTTAGTGGTAAATTTTTTAATTCTTCTTTTTTTTTAAAGTTGGACACAATATCTTTATTTTACTTTTATGTGGTGCTGAGGATCGAACCCAGGGCCTCACACATGCTAGGCGAGCACTTTACCACTGAGCCACAATCCCAGCCCCAAATGGTAAATTTTATGTTACATATCACAAATTTTAAAAAGTCAATATGGTATCTAAAGATAATACAAAGGAAAAGAAAATAACTTTATAGACACAAAGTATACTGCTCAGAGTATTTTAGACTACACAATATGATAGATCTAGAAGGGGTTTTTGAGAGCACCTGGTTCAGTGTTCTTATTTAAACAGGAAGAAACAGAGCTCAGAGCAGGAAAGCAACTGTTTGAGACCACAGGGACCTTTAACAGGAGAGAGAGGACTGGACCCCCTGTCTTTTTCCCCCTATATCATACTTGGTGCTTTCTCTATCTTAGCTCAGGCATTCCATTTCTGCTGTGTGTTCAGTTATAGATGGCCACGGTCGTAAAACTAATTAATGACCCTGCAAATCCCACAAGATTCTCTGAAAATTACAAACTAGAAAGAGGCATTATAAATACCAGTATGGTTCAATTCCATGTGCCCTTTCAATTTTGCTCAAGAGAACTCTGGGGCCCAAAAATAAATAATTCACTTTATGCAGTACTCAGGACATGAATAAAAAACAAAAAAGCATTTCCTTCTCCATTTTTGGTATTAATAATGAAGGATAACCTAAATTTAGGAGCTAGTACCTTTGTGGCAAAGCAGCTGAGATTAGGCTAAATCTTAGCTTTGAATCTTACAGCTTTTGTTAAAGCTTGGATTTCAGCCACTCCATGACTTGAGGCAGAAACTGTTTCAGTCCATGAACATCTCTTTGTTCACTTCTTGATTCCTATGATCCTGCTGCCCGAATGAACCAGGCTCCACCAACATGACAGCTTGGCCTTTAAAGCCCGATACTCAGGGCAGGCATATACCCAGTAAAATCTGAACTTCACATGGGAATCCTTCAAGGGCCACACTGCTCTTGTAGTCTCTCAGGCTAGACCTGTGAAGATTCTACTTTGTATTTGCCTGGGGTCTGCTGAAGTAAAACTCTAGTTTCAGTAGATGGTTTTCTCATCCATATCTCAGAGCAGAAAGAAGTAAACACTGGCCAAAATGATACTTTTCTGTAGACACTAGCTTTGGATCTGAGTTGATTATTCTAATATTCTTTTAAAGAAGAGAAAGTCTAAGAAAAATTGATACAATATTGAATTTATGTGATAATGTGAAAACATCATGGTTATGAGACATTAACCCAGCTGCAAGGCCTGAGCAAAGCTATAAACTCAGGAGAACACCTTTCCTTTGATCAGTTCTGTGTCTAGGGGCTTCACCAAGTCTGTAGACAGAAACACAGTCACCCAGAACTCTACAGCTTCTCCCAGACACACAGATCTTAATCACTCTGTATCCTCTCTGATCACATACAATGACGAGGTGAAGAGAATGAATTGCTGGTAAACACATGCTAATGAAACTGCAGACATGATAGTATAATGACCTTGATATATCATACATTTGAATATTGTACTGTCATGTGTAACTAATTAAAACAAATAAAAAATAAATAAATATAGTTTAAATCAAGAAATTAAAACAAAAATTTAAAAAATGACTTAAGTATAAAAAAAAAAAAAAAAAAAGAAGAAAAAACTGCAGACAGCATGTCAGGGCATCATCCTGCTGCTTGCTGCTTCCAACAGAGAGAATGAGCTCTGTGCTTAAGACATGTAGGGGTCAAGAATTTCAGAGTGCTGAACTGCTGCAGTCAGGCCCAGCCAGTGTCTGAATCTGCACAACCTCCCAGGAAGCTTTCTGAGACAACACTTTTGACTCTGGCTAAAGCTGGTCAGACAGAGTGCCTGTGGCAAGCAATGAATATTTCTACATAGGCTGCATGTGGAAGAGTTATTAGGGAAGATGGGCAATAAAAACAGAGACAAGGTCATGTCCCTGGTCTGAGGAAGCTTAACCTCACTAAGAGCTGGCATTTAGTGTGGCCTGACCATGTGCCAGAACTGGTCCCAAGCACGCCATGTGCATCGCGTTGGTGAATCCTCATAACAGGTGGCACTGGTTACATCTATTTTATAGTTGACGAAAGTGAAGTGATGCCAGGTTAAATATCTGCCTAAGGACTAATGGTTGCTGTGTTGCAGAAACAAGTTTCAGCTTCTGACCTTTGTGATTCTAGCGCTACCAACGTGAATGCTCATACCATATTGCCACTTTATAACCTGGACTGATGCTGGCTCACTCCGCACTTAATTTGATTCAAGAGATCTTGTCATACACAGATCTTACACCTGGCTTTGAATCTCATGAGAGAACACAATGCCCAATTGCACATGTTAATCTGCCCTCTAACTGAGAGGCATGACTGGGACCAACACAGCAGTGAGCCGTGAGAGATGAATCCTCTGCCACTCTTGACGAATTTGGTGGAAGGACAGGGTTTACGAAAGTATCTCGAATTATACAATCTTCTTACATGTTTTCTTAAGAGTTTACAGATAAAATGTCTAGAGAGGATTTATTTTATTGAATATGTGAATCATTTTTGATTAGCACATGCATACTTTGCATTTAAGTGGTATTTTGAAAGAATTAGGGGTAGAAGCCAGGCACAGTGGAACACACCCATAATCGACTCAGGAGTCTGAAGCAGGATCTCAAGTTCGAGGTCAGTCTCAGCAATTTAGCAAGACCCCATTTTGAAATAAAAAATAAAAAGAGCTAGGGATGTAGCTCAGGCGTAAAGCACCTCTGAGTCTGATCTTCAGTACCAAAAAACAAAACAAAACCCCCAAACAAACTAGGGATTGAATACGAATATTATTGTTTTTCTTTTCATTTCTTTTTGTAGTGTTGGAGATTAAACCCAGGAATGCTTTACCACCCTTGTGGTGCTGGGGAGGAGCCTACGGCCACTCATATGCCTCTACGATTGAACCATATCCCTAGCCCATCCCCAGCTCTTTGCGATTTTTGGTTTTTCTTTTAAAAGCAGCTTAAACTGCTTATTGAACTCAAATTGCCTATTTCAGATGGTCTGACTAGGTAGCAGCTGAAAAGAGGTAGCTGTGCTGTAGCACATAAGCCAATCCATCAGTGCCAAGGGGACAAACTAAGAGGAGCCTTAGTTTGTATAAAATTCAAGCAAGCAGGGGGAAGCTAGTCATGAAGATTCTTAGGGGAGGTGATCCGAGTTGCTCAGTATCGAACAGATAAGCCTCTCTCTCATAAGGGTCTTAGTCCAGTCACTGTGGGTTCAAACCAATCAGAGGCCTTGCTTCTCCCTCTGCTTGAAGTGTTTTCTCAAGCATCAGTCCTTGTAGAAACCTTCTCTGACTATTTAATCTAGAGCCATGACCCTTTCACACTCCAAAAACACTTTCAGTCATTTTATTTCTCCAGAGTAGATCTGTCCTAAGATATGTACTGGATCCATGACAAAAGCTCTAAGGCAACAGTCCAATATAAAGTTCACCTCACCTGTTCTGCTCCCACCATGCTAATTGGCTTGCACTTGAAGAGGTGGGTGATGAATTTGGGAATGAAGGAGCTGTGGAAAAAAAAAAAAGAAGTGATAAATTAGGCATATGCTCTCTCCAGTAAAGAAATGCAGAAACTTTCTTCAAAGGCTTTACCCTTCCATAAGAAAACTGAGAATCAAGGTAGATACTATTGCTACCTATCAGCATCCCCTGCCTTCCTTTTATTTCTCACCTAGACCCTGGTTTTATTTAGGGTCTAGAAAAACTTGATCTTAAACTATATTGGTGATTTTTGTGTCTATGTGTGTGGTGCTGGGGATGAAATCCAGGTCCACGTATATGCTGAAAACTACTAAGCTATACCCCATAAATCCTCCTACGGAGGATTCTAATTAGCCTCAGCCAGTCAGAGCATGGCATTCTCTTGGTGACTGCTATGTGTCCTGGGAGGGGAAAGGACTTTACTGCAAGGTGGGGGGGCACTGTTGCATTTGGATGTGATGTCTATAGCTTCCAGTCTACCACCATTCTGAAGATGATGCCAGATCCAAAGATAGCAGAATAAACCACCTCTCAGATCTGTCCTATCTCAGGACTTGTAGTTAAATGAAATAAAAAACTCACCTACCATTTAAACCAGTTTGAATTAGGGCTTCTGTAACTAGTAGATATAAACACCCTAACAGATTTAAGAATGGAACATATATGAGGGCTAGAATGTAACTCACTGGTAAAGTGCTTGCCAGCATGTGCAAGGACCTGGGTTCCACCCCCAGAAACACACACACACACACACACACACACACACACACACACACATGCACAAAACAAACAAAAACAAAAAACAAAATATCCACCAATGTAGTTTTCCCAGAATCCCAGGCCAGGTATACCTAATAGATTTAAGAGTAGAATATACATGCCTATAATCAAGACAAGATCCAAAGTGAGGTGACCAGGAAGTGTCATAGGACTCTGGACCACAAAAGGAAGGCTGGAAATAAAGCAGGATTTGTAGGTAAAGATAAAGGCTGGCTAGTACCTATCTTCTCACTCTTCCAAAGCTGCTCCCAGGCCTGAGCCCTCCTTTGTCTTCAGTCTCTCTGCATCTTTTCCTTACACTGTACTCACTCTAACAGTAATGACTTCCTGGACATCTTAATGCGATGACTAACCTCCTCCAGACTAGCCTCACACTGGCCTCCAGGCTCAGTGACTGCAATGAGTTGGCGACTCCACCTGGTTGCCAAGTCAGGAACTGAGAGTTCCCCAAACTATTTCCCACCTCAACCCCAACATCCAATCAGTTACCAATTCTTCCCCTGAACTCCCAGATTCACCCCTGTTGATCTCCTCCCCAACTGTCCTGTCATCTGAGCAACGGAGCCCTTCCTTCCATCCTTCCTTCCTTCTTTCATTCCTTCTTTTTCTTTCTTTTTTGGTGCTGGGGATTGAACCCAGGGGAACTTTACCTCTGAGTTATGTCCCCAGACTTTATTATTATTATTATTATTATTATTTTACTTTTTATTTTGAGACAGAGTCTCACTAAGTTGCTGAGGCTGGCCTCAAACTTGCCACCTTCCTACCTCAACCTCCTGAGTCCCGAGCTCTTCCAATTATTTCCCACCTGGTCTCCCTGCCTTCATCCTCATCTTTTTAAGTCACCTGTTACCAAAACTCTTACAATGGCTGCAAACAAGACATTCCTTGATTCAGGTTTTTTTTGTTTTTTTTGAGACAGGGTCTTTCCATGTTGCCTAGGCCAGATGCCAATTCCTAGGCTTAATTGATCCTCTTGCCTCAATGCCTTGAGTAGCTGGGACTATAGGCACTACTCTAGTGCCTGGTCACAACCTTGATTCTGGATTTTCTGTCCCCAGCCACATCATGCTGAACCCTGGCACCTCATACTTCAACCTGGTTGAGCTATTTGCAGATCCTACAATTCTGTGGGCTGCTAATACCTTTGTGCCTTTGCTTACACTGTCCCCTCTGCCTGGAATGCTCTTTGTGAGCCTTGGGGTCAGCACTCACACGACCCTCTGACCTTGCTCAAGGATGTCTCTTCTATGGAGCCTTTTCTCAGTCACCTCCACCATACTCTCAAGAGTCCTCAGGCCTCTAATATCTTACCTACTTTATTACACTTATTTGTTTATGTCTATTCCCTTGACTGTTAAGGCAAGTGGAGGCAGGGGTAGTGTCTGTTAAGTCAGATCACTTAACCCAGTATCTAGGACAAAGGAAATGCTCAAGTAAATGCACATTGAATAAATAATAAATGTTTTAATAACGGTAGCAGTGACTATTTTTTTTTTTTTTTTTTTTTTTTAGGTGTAGATGGACACAACTCAAGGCTTTTATTTTTATGTGGTGCTGAGGATCGAACCCGGGTCCCGGCTACACTAGGCAAGCGCTCTACTGCTGAGCCACAATCCCAGCCCAGCAGCGACCACTTTTTGAATGTCAGCTCGGTACCAGCACTTTGCCAGGAAGTTTACTGGGGACTATTTGGGAGGGACTGGAAGTCTTATAAACTAGAGTCAAACAAGTTAATGTGAGGTTGAATTCATGACTGATCAAAACTGTACCCAACCACTGTTAAAAGATTTGTCTTCACAAGAATGGGAAGTTATACTCCTGTATGTATAATATGTCAAAATACATTCTATTGTCATGTTTAACTAAAAAGAACAAGTAAAAAATTTTTAAAAAGAGATTTGTCTTTTTATCTCCAGTCCTGAATAGAGGAGAATCAGCTTAGGAGGAGGAAAGTCACCTGTGATTCAAACTGTGGTTTCAACCAGGGAGTGACTATGATGTCTAAACAGGAAAGACTGTCCCTATAGATACCAAATGGAGACAAAGGATCTACTGATGGTTTCGCGTTGGTGGGTAGCAAAGGGAGTTAGGGGAAAGAAATTTGAAGTCCAGGGGTCGGACCTGGGGAAAGGCCTAACAGGTCAGGATGGGTATGAACAGGAACTATTTAGAAGGAATTGGAAGTGCTGTAAACCAGAGCCAAACAAGCAACATGAGGTTGAATTCATGACTAATCACAACTGTATATACAGTGTATAACTTGTTACTTCCCACTAGAGTAAGTTGTGGCTGTGTCCTTGAACTGGCTCTAAGCACTAGTCTACAGGGCTTGGACTAGGGAAACAGGGACTCAACACATGTCTTTGGGGAAGAGGTCCCAGCAATGTGATGGGTAATTGTATTTGTATTGTTCTCATCTAGGTCCCAACTGGTGGTTCAGGACTCCAAGTTTAACTGCTTCTCCATGCCATACAGATAATGGTGGCTATTGCCTTTGTCTGGGGAAAGGTCCCTTCACAATCCTAAAACTGAGGTTTCTACAGTAAGGTTAGGGTTTACCAGAATGGAAGGTACCATGGATTAAAATAGAAATATAGCCTAGATCACAGGCTGAGCTTTTCCAGATGTGTGAGATGGGCATCCTATTCCCAGTTCACTCAATATGAGCTTAGTAATAACACTAAAGGGCTCTGAGGGCTTTGAGAGAATGTGAGGCCTCTGCTTGGGCTAGCTAAGCAACTGACTCCTTATTCATCTAATGTAAGCTCAATCAGACCTCTGGGTGACCATGAAGGAGATTTCTAGTTGCAGTAAATTTTTACAGAGAAACTTCTACCAGTACTTATGGGGAATGTCACAATGTGATAAATCAGCAATACTTTTAATGCACATTAATGAGCATCCAGAGAGTGAAGGGAACGTCAACTCCTAGTTCACCTGCCATACTGCAAACATTAATGCTTCCCTGGAGAGTCCACTCGATCCTTTCTTGACAAGGTAGAAATTAAAGTTAACTCTACAAGCCACTCCATTATTGTTGCTCCTTAGGGATTTATTTGTGTCAGAGAGGGAAAGCCTTAATTGAATACACACTGGGAGAGATCTGGGGAAGACATAAACTTGGAGTCCTGAACCACCAGTTGGGACCTAGATGAGAACAATCCAAATACAGTAGCTTGGACAGGGCTGACCTTTCTGAAGCCCTTCCCTGAGAAGTTTGCCAGAATGTTTGTTTGATATTTGGTCAGAGGAGACACTGGCCCTGTACACTGCCTGGTCTCACAGGAGACAGTGCTACAGCCAGATGCTGATTGGCAAAGGACCAAATCATTTTCTTGCTTCAAAACTCAAGCCAGAAATAGCCACACACAGGGATGTGACAGGAACACATGTAGCTTACTGTTCATTCCATCTACCTTGGCTATGGAGTTCCCTGACTTGCTCTTCCCAATTTCTAGTACCTTCCTTGGACACAAGGACATCCAAAAGTGGATAAGTCTTAGCAGCTACAGTAATAAATACTATGGGGGAGAAGAAAGAGAAGACTCAAAAGAAACAGAATTGGTAGTTCCTACCCTTAAAAAAGTTTATATGAGAGAGACAAAAAGCACATGTGATCACTGAGACTAAGTTTAATTATCTCCACTTGGGCAAGGGGTGGTTATGTCCACACAGTTCAAAATAACAGGGTCTCCCAACTCATTTTTGTTTGCCTTGATGTGGCTGATGATTGTATTACTGCTACTGTATATATAAACTTAAGTAGCAGACTTGGTTTTATTATTATGATCCCTGTGGGTACAGATTGATATCAATTTGCCTGCAGGTACCAGAACGAATTACAGTTGGATGGTAGGGACACCAGGACTGTGAGCATGTTGGGTTTGTATGGCACTAAAAGAACCCCATTGAGTATCATACTATAGCAGTGGGTACACATCATCAGATATCTGTCCAGACCCATAGACAGTACAAACACCAAGAATGAACCCAAGGAAACCATATATTTTGGGTGATAATGCATCAGTGTAGGTTCATCAACCCCAGCAAATGTATCCCTCTGAGGGGATGTTGATATTGGAGGACAGTATGTGTATGGGCCAAGGGGTACATGGGAAATCTGCTCAATTATGCTATGAACCTAAAACTGCTCTGAAATGTAAAGTCGATTTAAAATTTTATTTAAAAAATAAAAAAAACAAAGCAAAACAATAAGAACAACTCAGTGATGAGAATGCTCCAGGACTTACTTTGCAAATTTGATGCAGAATTGAGTGAAGTATTTCCGTGTGGAAGCCAGGTTGTCACGGATGATGGGGACATTCTGCTTAATGTGAAGAATGACAGAAGTGACATAGGGGCTCTGGTCACCAACATGTTCCACATTCTGCCACTGCATCTGAAATAGAGACAGGACAAGACCAGGCTTTAGACCCTTCAGAGAGGAAAAAAAAAAAGAGTGTTACCTGTTAACAGGAAAAGGAAGAGACAGAGTGGAAATTCGGTCATTATTATTACAGGAATTAGCCCCCTTTGTCTTGGGGAATTTTTTTCTCAGTCTATAACATAGAGACTAATCATGAGTAAAGACAAGCAGGTCCACCTTATCCTTGACAGGGAAATGGGACTCAGGCACTTTTCTTCTAGTGGTCCCCAGAATGCTTCAAATAGCCTTCCTTTCCCATCTAAATTGCTATCTTGTAAGAGGAACCTCATTAGGAGAGCCGATTGGACTGGAACAGGGACACAGTAACCTGTTCTCTGTCAACTGTTCCACCAATCAGGACTGTGGGAAAAAAGGGGAGAGACATCTACTTCCAAGTAGATGTGGCATGAGGTATCATAGGTGGCAGGGCTAATGCAGTCAAATCTGAAAGAGGATTAACTTACACCTTTCCCATAAGTAAATTGGGAGGAGTTTGGGATTCTTTAAAAAGAACACTAAAGTTGCTACAACATGTGATATTTACTTCAAAATAACCTGGGGTTGCTCTCTCTTTGCTTCCTGGCCACAATGAGGTGAGCAGCTTTGCTCCACCAGCTGCTTGTACCATGATGTTGTGCCTCACACAGGCCCAGAAACAATGGAGCTGGTCAGTCATGAACTGAAACCAGGAGCCAAAATAAATCTTCCCTCCTTTAAATTGATTTTCTCAGGTATTCTGATACAGCAATGAAAAGCTGACTATTACAGTGCCTCACCTCTGACTATATTTCTTCAGGTTATTGTGTCCCTATTCCAGTCCAATCTGCAGACTCAGGCCACATCCTCTGGCTCTGGAACCACCTGTACCATTTTAGGCTTCCCAGACCCTCTGCAGCCTAACATCAGTGTGTCTTTTGTTGCAAAGGCCACCTAACAATGGTTCAACAGTTAAGGTATTCAGCAGACATTTCACATTCACTATCTTTGTGTCATCCGATTGTCAAGCACTGGAGGAGTCTCCTCCAAAATCAGCTCAACCTCCCTCACCTCCTCAGGGTGAGACAAGTCTAGTAACTGAATGTGATCGCCTTCCAAAAAAGTTAATTTCCTCTTAACCATATCTTGGGTAATAGGAAGAAAGGGATGGTGTATGGTATAAGCTTATTTTAAAAATTTAGGAATTTTTTTACTGTGTGTGTGTGGGGGGCTGGGGTGGTAAGGATTTAAACCAGGGACACTTTGCCACTGAGTTACATCCTCAGCATTTTTTCTTTTTTATTTTGAGAGAGGGTCTTACTAAGTTGCCAAATTAGTAAAATTTATGATTTTAATTTATGATTGAATTTATGATTCTCCTGCTTCAGTCTCCCAGGTTGCTGGATTACAGGCATATGTCACCATGCCCTGATAAAATTTAGGAATTTTGCCTGACATTTCTTGACATAATGCTTCTTTTTCTCCCTCCAATGGCTGCCCCACCCACCTGACCCTTGGGTGCAGCCCGTTCAAAAGACTGGCCTAGGGGACTCAAACTCAGTTCTGGTTGTTGTTGAACTAACATGGTCCTAGATCATAAAGATAAAAACCACTTGATTGAGGACTCTGTTCTCTGGCTCCTCCACCACATGCCATGGCTAGCTGAACAATGGCCCTCAAAGATATCCATGTCCTAAAAACTAAATAAAAATAAAACACACAAAGCAATCTGGGGCCAGGGGAGGGGGCTGCAGGTGCAGATGAAACATGATTAGTGAAGCTGGGTGACAGGTACACGGGGTTCATTATATTGTTTTCTTTACTTTTGAATACATCTGAAATTTTCCACAATAAAAACATTTTAAAGGTGTGCATATAGAATCTTACATTCCTAAAGCCTTTGGGATTATGATGGGATTTCAATAAAGGGAAAGAGGATCTCTGGCAAACACTAAAGGCAGATCAGAGGATAAGTCAGTGATATGCGGAACAAGGAAGGAAAGAGCCTCGGGGACTACGTGGTTGACAGGTTTTGGGGAGATGATAGTCTTTGGCCATGAACAAAAATGAGCTCAAGTTCTGACACCCTAAGGAGAATTAGGAGTCATGTCTGGAAAACAGAAGCACCACTGCAGGGTCTCTTTCCCCTTGGGACACACAGGGTGGGGGGGGGGGATAGGGTATCATTGGTTCCCAGCCTGCCCCAGCTGGCAGGGACCGGGCACTGGGATCCTGACAAGAGCAGGAACGTGCTGGAGAAGTCCTGCTGAGTCAGCCTCTCAGTGGAGCTGGACTGTCTGTTAAAAAGATCCCAAGCCAAAAACAAACCATAGACTGTTCACAGGAGGAGGCCAGTAGTTCTGAGCCTTGATGTCTCTGGCAAGAAAACACTATTTTTATAGAGCTCTTGGGGAAAGGAAAAATTCAATACCGAGAGAACTTGTTTAAAAGAATCCTATTGTATGTGGATGATTCCCCAGCCCTGGGAAGCTCAAAGGACTCTGTTCTGTCCTAATGTTTCTTCAGGTCAGCAGTTACTGAGATTCTAAGACCTTTGGATATGTGTAAGTACAGAACCATAGAAAAGAAGGAAAGGAGCTCCATCTTCATTTCACAGATGAGAAAACAAGACCCAGGGCTGGGGTGTAGCTTAGTGGTGAGGCCCTGGGTTCAATCTCCAAAACCTTTGTGGAAGTGGGGTAAGGGGGAAAAAAAGCCCAGAGACACCAAGAGCCTATGCAAGGCTTCACAGCCAGCTCCAGACAGGAAAAGGAAATTCTTTCTTTTTGTTTTCTTTTAAGTCAGGTCTTGTTATGTTGCCTAGGCTAACCTTGGACTTCTGGGAACAAGTGATTTTCCTGTCTCAGCCTCCTAAGTAGCTGGGAATACAAGTGTCTGCCACCAAACCCTGCAGGAAAAGGAAGAATTTTTACTGGGGGAAAAACAGAAATAAACAATGGAAAAGCAGTAGAAAGCTCTAAAATGAACTGCTCTTATATTTGACTGCTCTAGTTATGTTTTCCTCATTATCTTTTACCTTGAGAGGTTCTTTTTCCTTTTGATATTAAAGATTTGACCCTTCTAAACAATGAGCATCCTAGGTGACTGTCAATGAGCTCATAGGGTGAGGCCAGGACAGGTGCTATTAAGTCTATACTTCATATTCTTTTCCCAAGCTTTGCAGCAAGACTTGGAGTAGAATGCACTGGGTAAACACAGAACTGAACAGGGCTTGATGTCCCCAGTCAACATGAAGCTCTTCCACAGAAATGACTACTGCATTCCATGTTGGCACCACTGCATATTTTTATCTCAAAATAGCTTATAAATAATTATCTAAACATTACAGTTTTCCACTCATAGAAGAAGACCATAAAAGGAGGTGGAGACATACTCTGTCGTTGGCTACAAAGCAGCTCTGAAGCAGGACAAAGCATGGGATGTGGGATTTCTTCATGTTCCCACTGGTTAGTTTGCCTGTGCCCCATTTAATTCCTCTTGATAACCACTGATGAAGACAGTACGTGGCCACATTTGGAATATATGTGAAGATATCTGGCTCCATTGGTCAAGTTAAAAAAAGTATTAGGGGCTCGGATTGTGGCTCAGCGGTACAGCACTCGCCTTGCATGTTTGCAGCCCTGAGTTCGATCCTCAGCACCACATAAAAATGAATAAATAAAATGAAGGTATTGTGTCCAACTACAACTAAAAAATAAATATATTTTTTAAAAAAGTATTAGCAAAAGTCAAGTGGATTCATGATTTTAAGTTTTATTTATTTATTTTTATGTGGTGCTAATGATTGAACCCAGTGCCTGATACGTGCTAGGCAAGTGCTCTATCACTGAGCCACAACTCCAGCCCCTCATGATTTTAAATTTAAGCTAGGTTAGTGAAGTAAGAAAATGATTTAATGTGCTAACAAACAATGAAAGTTGATATTACCTTTATTTTTAGAAATGTGCAAAATACAGTTAGTAGTGATTCTGTCCAGCCATTACTTCAAAGGTTGATGTTTGCCCTCAGTCATCCCAGATGACTTAAGGGTTGAGTTCTAACTCAAATCGACAAAGAAACCCATGTTATGATCTACCACCATGCATATGTCTTTGCCAGGCACTGTATATACATCAGTTCAGTTACCATTCACACATGGTCTCACTCAGTTCTCACAATAACATCATAGATGAGGAAATGAAAAAAAAAAAAAAAAACTCAAAGAGATTAAGTAACTTCATCAAAGTCATGTAGCTAGTAAAAGAGTTGAGACAACCAGGTCTGTCTAAAGCCCAAGCACTATGTTAGGATTCTTGTTAGACAATTGTCAAAAACTATCTAACTAACTAAACAAACAACAAACAAAAGCATTTAACTGGGACTTAGTTTAGGGTAAGCTCTGTTTCTCAAGGAGAAGCTAAAGAAATATACAGACATCAAGCAAAGATCTCATCCGAAAGATCTATTAGCAAAAGTCAAGTGGATTCATGATTTTAAATTTTATTTATTTATTTTGCAGCTTGCGTTGGAGAACAAACATCATGAAAAGCTACAAGAATAATTAAGATTTCGGACATTTAAAAGTTACCCCTCTACAATTTAAAAATTTTCCATTTGTGCTTTTTGTTTAGAGGGTGGTGGTGGGACGGAATGGGGTTGAATACCACATTGTGTTCAACTGGTACTGTAAAAACAATCAGAAACAGTTTATAAAAAAGTAGTACCAAAGATGCAAGGAAACCAAGATAGTATTAGTGGAAGCTTTCAGGACCCCATATTTAACCACAGGAGAGAAGTGGAGCCCAGAGCATCTCCAGGGATCTACTTCTGCTGCCTTTAGTGTGTGGTTCATGCTGACACTTCCCAGGGAAGCCTGGGAGATAATCACTATTCCCCAGAGAGCCCACTGTAGCAGAGAACTCTGACTAATCCATGGATCAGACAACACAACTAGCTTACTATGGATCTTGTTTTTTTTCTATTGCTATATAAAGCTT